AAAGTATTCGTGTTTCTGTAAAGCTAGACTTTCTTTGTATGGTGACAAAGAAGCTTTATTAAAATTTAGAGGGCTTTTGAATAGCAAAGAAAGAAATAAAGGACAAACACAAAAATTTATTTTAATTTTATTGAAGTTTGGCTGACCATACAACGCTGTTTCGAGTATTGCCAAGTACTCTTCATCAGTGGTCTTTAGAATAATCGAATTTTTATTTAATTAGTTTATAGTCCGTATATAATTTGTTTGGACTGCAAGTGCCAGGCTTAGAACTCGTGCCTGTCAAATTAGAAGCGATGACTAATCGTGTAAATCACATATATAAATATATTTGATATACTATTCTATATTTCATAATTGAAAAATTGAAATTCTAGGTTTACTTCTAGCAAATCTTAAAAACTCTTTCCACTAACTTAAAAAAATATACTTAATGATATAGCTTAATGATACGATCAAATTAAATCTAATTCTAGTTAATATTTTTTTCGAAAGCATCTTCATATTTTAATATATTTTTTGCATAATGAATTATTTTAAAAGGAGTTCTTCACCGTTTCATTAGTCATTGGAGCTAAATCTCCTTCTTAAATACTATTATTGCGGTCTGAAAACAGAGAGAAGTTACTGACAGTTAGATTCATAGAATATCTTTCATGGGTAAGCAATAAAAAGTTCAATTAATAATCTAAAAGATATATATTTATAACAACGTCCTTTTAATATATCGAGATTTATATCGAAGTATAATGAATTATAGGTTTTCGTTCCGGTAATTATTGTTTTATTAGAGCAAATTTCTTTCCCTAAGCATTACTTTTTTGGTCTGCAAACAGGTAATAGTTACTGAGAGCTAGATTCATAGAATATGGCAATTCAGAGTGTAAATAGTAACTGATGGATTAGTGATGTAGTGAAATTTCTTGGTGTAAGATCGCCTTTTATTTCTTAATTTAGTCTTGTTGTATTGGCAATTTCTCAAGACTATCGATGAATAACTATCGAGACCGTGCGATCTCGAAATACCTAGGATAAATTTTCGATTAAAAAAAATTTTTTTTTATAATATTACATCTGGATTAATCTAGATAGGATTAATTGTTATGAAAATGAGAAGAATAACACGATTACAACGACACTAACTCGTCAACTAAGCGTTAAACTGTTATAAGATTTTGACACATATCCTTGAAAGGTTACTAGTTTCTAGATTCATAGGTAGTGATATATGTTTAGATCATCCTACGAACTTATAGTATGACGTAATATTTTTAAAAGTAGAACTCAATGCATCAAGAATAAATTAACTAAAAAAATTTATTTTTTGTGTTTTAATTTTTTAAAAAGAAATATTTTTTTAATTTAGGCTTCCATGTATGATTACAGGGAACAACCGCAATGTTGCGTCTTTAATAAACAACCGCAAATTAAATATAAAAAAAAATGTTATTTATTTTTTTCAATTTAATCACATTGATTGGTTTTAAAATTCTTCGAATTCCCTTCTCTTTTCAAAATTTCTTTATTTATTAATCTACTACGCCCCTGAGAACGCACACATTTTAATTGATCAAACAACGAAAATTATAGCCTTTCGTATGTAGCATATGCAGCGCACATGGCTTAGATTTTTTTTTAAATCAAAAAACTGAACTTTGTATATTTTATTTTTGAAAAAATCATTTTTTTATTTGCTTATACATATACAAAAATAGGTTATTTTAGCACATGATCCCATATCAAAATTATACTAAATTGGGATGAATTGTCAAATATTTGATTTGTTTAAAATGATTGTATTCGAAATCTTATCAAAGATTTGAGAAAAATTAATTTTTTTAAATAAACACAAATTCCGGTTTGGTTTTGATTTTTTAAATTGTAATATTTATAAATTATTAATTTTATTTTATTTATTATAATTATTATACAAGAATTATTTACTTATATTGTTTAATTTATTTATATTAATTAATTATTTTTAACCCAATTTTAAAAACGGTTTAAAAAATTTTTTATGATTAAATAGTTATTGTGGTTAAGTTTTTTTTTTATACAAACTTTATTTAATAATTGTAAGTTCACACTTTTTCCTAATAAATAAAATTATATTTTCCATCCCTTATATATCCCTCTTTTGCTTATGAAGAACTTTCATTTAAAGAACCAGATTTACAAAAAAAAATTTCTGTGAGTAATCTAGAATATTTAAGTCTTAAGGCACCAACATGACTACCCGATGAATCTAATTTGAGAGATAATTATTATTATACCAAAATAATTTCATCATATGATCTTTATTGAATACTCACTAATGATTTCTAATGATACTGCTAATGGTTTTAAATGACAATAAATGGCAATTAATATACATGTATTCATAAATACATATCTTATATATATAAGATATTCATCGATTTATATTTGATAAATATATACATATATATACTTTTAGACATAACCTTTTTCTGCCATTTTAGAAACAGTTAGAGATAATTGTAATATATTTTAATATAATATATTAAAATATATGATGGGTAGTTTGGTAAGACTTGAAACAGCGCATGGTCAGCCAAAAATTCATTAATTAAAAAAAATACTAAAAATAAAATTTTTGTTGTGTGTAGTTGTACTACTATTCGAAAAAACTTCTATATAAAATATAGAAATAGTTATTTGAAAAAAAATTTATTTGATTAAAAAATATTAATAAATAAATTTTAATAAACTAAAATTTTAAAAATTTTTTCTTTAACATAATTTTAAATTATTTTACTCAATATTATTTCAAACACATGCGAACATTGTATAGAATTGCTTTCTGCTTATCTCAATCTAAGTTGACTAAGGGCTCACTTCCCACAAATGTTTTGAAAGATCAACATTTATATGACTTGGTCTTATTTCGAACAGATAAGAAATGATTTAAAGCATATAATTATCATATATTCTTTACCATAGTCATAGTTAAATTAAAAAGGGGATACGGAATACTTCTTAATACATTTAAAAAAAGAAATATACATATCTGAATATTTCTAATTTGTGAATTATTTCTTAATTTAGGAACAAATTTATTGTAAACTAATATATATCTTCAAATATAGGATTACTGAATAGAAATTCAATTAAAGGAGTAAACAAATGTTCTTTACGATTCTAAATTAGAATTAAAATACAATTTATTAAGCGTAGATTCTGTTTGTATATTATCCCCTGATACCTATAGTTTTAATATTACATATAGACAAAATAAATTTTCTTGGAGTAAATGTCTTTGTCCTAAGCATCACTTGTTCGGTCTGCAAGCAGATAGTAGTTACTAAGAGCTAGCTCCATAGAATATGTTAAATGGGTAAGCAATTCAAAGTGTAAATAGTAATTGATCGACCAGTTATGTAGTGAATTTTCTAGGAGAAGAAAGATCTGTCCGAAAATTATATACATACAATTAAACAAATAGATGTTTTCAAAAACCGCTAAAGATTTTATCTAATGATTGATTGTATTTAATTGATTGATTAAATATAAAAAATTATTTAGGACTTAAAAATTCTCACATTATTATACCCTTTTCTTTTCGAAATGGATTAGTTGTAAGACAAAAATAATTTATTATTTGAAATGTAGTTTTAAAGATCTATTGCTACAGACTTCACTATAAATATTACAGTTCCTCAGATAGAGTATTTCGGGTAGATATGTTGTTGATTCTAAGATTAAAATATTTCTCGTTATTAAACTCTTCCTTGTAAAGAAAGTTTTATAAACACAAAATGGATAGGTTAAATATTATACAGTACTTAAAGAATTATTAAATAGATTTAAGAATTATAGCTCCTTTCGATATGATTCTAGTACAGCATTTTGAGTTGGAATGCTGATGCTTCTAACACTCATTCGAGTTATTTTTTAAGTTGTCTATTATAATTAACGTTTTATAAGTATTATAGGTAGGTAAGATATTAAAAAGTTCTTGAAGAATTACAGTCTCTGAAAATAATTATAATATAATACTTATTATCCCTCAAATAAATTACTTTGGGTAAACATGATGGCTATAAGACTAAAATATTCTAGATCGCTCGCAGGAATTCTTCTTTTAAACCTGCTTTTTAAATACAAAGTTTTTTATAAGTAAAGCACGGATATATTATTATCTATATATGTACTTATATACTTTCGTTTTAAGTATTAAAAAATTACAGCCTCAAAAAATAATTATAATATAATACTTATTATCTCCGAAATGAATTACTTTGGGTAAACATGATGGCTATAAGACTAAAACATTCTAGATCGCTCGCAGGAATTTATCTTATGAACCCGTTTCTTAAATACAAAGTTTTTTATAAGCTAAACACGGATATATTATTATCTATATATGTACTTATGTACTTTCGTTATAAGTATTAATTAATTTGATGGCTGTAAAATAAAATTAAACTTTTATGTACTTTTAATATGTACTTTTATATACTTTTAAACTTTTAATATTTATGTTTAATTATATTAATTTATATATATTTATTCATATTTATTTTATGTTTATTTTATTAATTTTCATTTTAATGAAAATGAAATTAATTTTCATAATTTTAATTTTAATGTGTTATAAAAGTGTTAATATAATTTATTAACATTTCATGGTTGTGATATATAATATTTCAGATACTTTTAATTTATACCTTATTATATGTGAATTACTATATTATTATATATATTTATATTAGTTTAATAGATACTTTCCAAGCACAACATATAGACCTTATAGGTTTGCTATGTGCAATTGCCGTATCTAATAAATATTATTTAATATAATTATGTTACCATGAAAATCTTTATGTATAGATATATGTTGATATATATTTCTTGAATATATGTTTTTTTATATATACAAAACCAAAAATTTATTAATTCATCTCTTGGTTTTCTAGGTTTGCGATTATTGTGATCCAAATGTGCCCGAAAAGAATCATGCACCAGAGTTTGCTATTGACGGTACTGAGGCCTGGTGGCAATCGCCTCCATTATCTCGTGGTATGAAATTCAATGAAGTAAACTTGACAATTGATTTCGGACAGGTAAGCAAAAGAGAAAAAAATTGTATAACAATTGAAAATTTTTTTAAACAATGCATTTATAAGATACAATAAAAAGTATCTATTAGTGTATTGGTTTCAAAATCTTATCTTATTTATTCTTATGCTGTGTGCATATCTTCTACTGTTGTTTATGTTTGAAATGTTTTATTCGATTGTATGAATGAATCTCTAAAATACGGATACATGTGGTATAAGTTTGTATGGGGCATCATATTCTATGCTGTATGTTGAATAACGAATGCACATAAACTTCAGGCAACCTCGTCCAACGACATCATAAAAATTAGTCCGGTTCTTAAAAAAATGCAGCAATCTTATCTGCCTTTTTTTAGTTTGTATTACAATTTTTGTTGTTAATTTTCTCCTTAATTTATTTTGTACACACATCACACATGTGAATGCAACGATAGACCCGAAAGATACATAAAACTGAAAACTGAAAAATGTGAAATAAACGAAAAAAATAAAAATGAAATAAAATAAAATAAAAGGAATTAAAAAGAAACTGTTTATAATGGAAAAAAGGTTCAAATTGATGAACTGCCAACGTTTGCCGCGTCATATGTCTGCGGTTGACATAAGATACATTGACTTTGCTCCCATTTGCACGTTCAACACTTTTAAGTAAAAGTCTTCGAAGTAAAATGCTTACTTGGGCAAGGTGTTCGAATCAAGTTTTTGCTTTTAAGCAGGGTTTCATATTACTTTTTAATATATATAAAATAATAATTATATTTCATGGTATATAATTTTTATTCACCATTTAAAATATATATATAATACATATGTTATTAACCCATCATATGTACATATTCCTATCAATAAATGCTCCACAAATATGATCAAAACTTAAAGTCTTTGGGTTACAGGTTATCGTAGGTCTTTCAAATTATATATTTTGATATTTTAGTTAAAAATAATACTTTTAGAAATAATTTGATGGTACATGCCTACATCTTGTAAAAAGTTTATTAGCCTTAGAAACACATTCTAGAGAAGATAAGATTCTTTAAATAGGAAAAAAAAATTTAAGAAAATATAGTCTAAAGTAAGTTTATGTATTTGTGTTCACACATAATATACTTTGTATAGATACAAATCCATATTTGTATAAATGCATAAGTATATGCTTGAGGAAACGCGTGCTTCTTGATAAGAATATTTCTGTAGTGCAAAGTAAAATGTATATTTTAATATCAAATATGTCTACATATATATGTTTAAACAGGGTGTTTTTTCAAATAATATTATTCAAGAAAGCGAAAAATCAAATGAGATATTTGTCTTCATTTTTCTTTCATACTTTATATCTCTCTTAATAGAGCAATGGATCAGTTCTAAAAGACGATTTACTTTTTGTTTCTTGGAACAAGAACATATCTGCTAAATTTTTGTTAAGAAACACCTTGTGTGAATATATGCATGTATATATATATGTATACATAAAATATATTTATATTAATATATTACATTAGAATCTGTCTGTAAAAGAATATATATGTCGAAGTTTTCTTATCTTAATAGTAACGTATTCTTAAATATGTGACCCGAATTGAAAGCGTTGTCGTCGTGGAAGTATTTCGGAAAGTAATATGGTTTAATATTATTCAATCAAGAAAAAAATAAAATACAAATTACATAATGAAAACACGGAATGAATGGTATCTCTTATTAATATACCAATAATCTTATTATTATTTGATTAGGACAATATTAGTCAGGATTAACAATAAATACTTCAACATTGATTATTTTAAATATACAACAGATCTGTGAGATATACTCGAAGACTTAAAAGGAAAAAGTTCTGTGTAAATTGTAATCATTTTTAAAATTTAAAAGCAGGTCTTAAGAAGAGTGATAAAATACTAATATGGTTGCTTGTTTAATTCTAAATATTAGCAGTTGAAGTAATTGTTGCATTCCTGTAGGTGTAAGTCTAAGTCGTTAGATTATTACATTCACAAAGGCAAGTAAATATCGTGTTATACAATAATTTCATTGCTTAATATATTTGTATATCTACAATAGTACCTACCATGGTTTTCTGGGCTCATACATTTTTACTAGTCAGGTAAAGGGTGACTTGTCTATTTTACTTTGACTTGGTACACAGAAACAAATCAAAAGTGTCTAGGTTAATATCTGTTTTAATAGGAGTCTATACTGTAGGTTAGCATGGGATCAAGCTCGGCCTACCACATAGTATCCTCTATACTACATATTAACCAATGTTCGTAGAAAAGACACCAGAACACCCAAATTAAAAGCCAACTCGCACTAATAGTTCATTAGCCAGCGGGTGCTAGATAATTGTCCAGGGGTGTCACGTTGAGGCTAAGCGACAATTTAGATTAAGAACGACAAGAATTGCGTTGGCATTTCCCAAGTTAAATATAATCAGATACGCGACCCCTCTTAAGTGTCTTAAGACCACGTATGTAAGTGTTTGAGCATTTAACATTATTTCTTTCTGCAGTGTCCAATTTATATATATTATTACAGGATAGGTGAAATTTGTTATTATGTTATATTTGCTTTATATAGTTAAATTATGTAGATTTAAATAGAATGTCATTAACTTTGTGGAAGCAATAGTGTTCAGAATAGATTGTAAATTGTATTATATGTTTGGTCCCAATTCCAATATTTGCCTAGGCAAAACTTTAAATGAGGTTATTGATATCTGTAAAACACTGCAACTAATATTGGAAACATCCAGTAGAAAGTTGGGACAGTTAAAATTCTGTCTTCGATATATTTCTAAAGTCATGTAATATAATATTAAGTATATTATAATATTTATTGTAATTTATTATTATAATATTATACTTAAAGTATTTTGGTCGGAATAAATGTGTCTATTATAATATAAAGGACTTGTTTTAGTAGTATTATCAATATTTTAGTCCCTGCTTCCTAAAATTAATAGGTAGATTGGTATTGTACCAATGTTTGTTCGTTTGATATTTGGTTGCCAGAAAATTACACTTGAGAGTGCACAAAGCTTACTATACATTATTTTTGGCGGATAATACAAAATATCTGCTTAGTATTGTATTTCTGTTCTAATTTTTACAACAATTTCTAATTAACCTTTTAACTAAAATTTTTTTTATTTTAAAAAGCTATTAATTAATTAAATAATACTAGAGTAGTTAATATAATTTAACCATTCATAACGAAAGCATATGATATTACAAAAATTTTTTTCATAATTTTTTATCAAGAACGAACGGAAACAGTGAGGGCCATTATCGCTATGGCCGATTTTTGCTTCTTTGTACAGTACAGTTTCTTTCATCTTTTCTTATGTGCGGCCAAAGGAAACGATGTAGTTTTTCACTTTATTATTAAGGCAATGTGAGAAATGTCTTGATGTGTTCATTTAACAAATTTAATTGTGAAATATAAATTTTTGAGCAATTCATTTAATATTCGCTCATCAACACATATTCAAAATGTGCTGATCTTTCTCATCAAATTTCATGTGGATTAGCTCATGCACTAAAAATTGCTGTTTAGTGCTTATCAAAATGGGTTTCAGTTTCGGAACTTGAGTGTTGAGAATTTTACTAAATGTAATTACAGTTTATATTTTTATTTTTTTATGTGCCTTTATGTGTTAAGATACTTGGTACTCAATGATATACTATATACATATATAGAAAATAGTTTATCGCAAAAATACTTGTAAATTGATATTTGCGTGTTTCTATTCAAAATATTGCATTCTTAATGTAATGTCATAAGAATAATTTTTTAGTTTATTTATACATGTTTTTATGTATGTATATGTATGTATGTACAATGTATGTATATATACAATTTACACAATTTATTAAATATAGCTTTGTGAGCACATTTCAAATAAATTTTATCTTTATAATTATAAATTTATACATTTTATTTTAATATCAAAATAGTTTAGATCCGGTCTATGGTATATAGAGTTTACACCATACTTATTTAGTACTAGTACTTATTTAAATGCAATTAACTGATATTCGAGGATATTGATTTTATATATTTTTTATTTATGAAAATATATATGTATAAATAACAAAATGATATATGTTATTTCAATAGTTTTCTGACAATTTTGAGTAAAGAACTGCGATTCAGTTTCTTCAAATTTTAATACTTAAGACTTATGTATTTAATACTTATTTCACTACTAAAGTTATTGTAGTTCACTACTTTTCGAAACCTCTCTCTCTCAAATACTTAAGATTTTAATATTTAATATTTAAAATATATAAATAATATTTAAAATTTAATATTTAAAAAATCAGATCAGTTGATTTCCTCTAATATCGGTTTGTTATATTAAGTAAAATATTTATGTAGTATATAACTTTTGTTCAAAAAGTATCCGGATTTTATTAACTACTCCTTAAGTAAGAGACCTTTTTCAAAGTTTTTTGTTATGTTGGTACACCCTTTCTTGACATATGGTACAAATTTGAGCGCCATCTGTCATTCAGTTTGTTTACAGCAGTTTAGTTTGTTTACAGAATCACTATAAAAGTGATCTTATAATCCTATCATAACATTAGTTTTGTTGTAACTAAAACGCAGCGTTGTATTTTAAATTTTGCTATAAGCTTTTATTTTTGTATATTCAATACTCCCTGAATAGATCAAATTGCTGCCAAAAGCAGTCCAGATGATTTTATGCTATTATTTTTTCCTAAATTATATTTAATTAATTTGCCCAGAAAAATTTTAACATATATTTGGATGGTATTAGTAACATACTTAAATACTCTGAATGTGTTCCGAAGGTATCCTGACGGACTATCCTGACGGACTATCCTGACGGATATGCGCTTTACTACGCCTTACTCAGTCTTGTCTCTGATATTTTCTTGTGACTAAAAATCCAGAGAAACGTAATCTTGAATTGCGCCGACAACTTGATTAGAGCTGCGTTGCAATTATCCTCAATAACCGTGTGTATACCCAATTGTTGTTGGATTTGGTCAAATCAGTAAGTTGATACCAGACAGTTTATTCCACTTTTAAAGTGCAAAGTGCTTGTAAATTGCTTGTAAACAACGACAATCATAAAATTTTTTCAATTTATACTGTTTTTTTTCAATAAGTCCTTTTTGTAATTTAATACTCATCCCTGTAGTGCTTAAAACTTTCAATACCATCATAAGAAACACTGAAATCTTCAAAATAATTACAGTCATATCTTGTTAAAATTTTTCGATATCCAAAGATATTTTGCAAAATGTAAATAATATGATGGGGTTTTAATTTGATTAGTTGGGTGCATGAGATGTAGTGTTCGAAGTTTAATTTATTGTCATTGCAATTACACAAAAAACAAACAAATATTTGTTTTAATATGTAACAGAGAGAGGATATCATGTTCGTTACACATCATCTTAGATTTGGGTCCATTTATATTAAATAGTTAATTCTGATAATATTTGTTCTTAATATTTTTATCAAGATGACGCTAAGAATCGTTTTAGCAAAGTCCATCAGTCTGAATGAATGTCAATAATAACTAACATAATTATTCGGACCAATTTTGTATCGGATTGTTGTTTTATAATAGATTTATTCTATGTGTCTTTTAGTTTATATTTTTATTCGTTCAAGATATGTTAAATACTTATATCGTCTCTTCTTTAAGTTTCCATTCACTTTTTATTAAAGAAATTAACATAAGGATGCCATTCAATCCCAGTATGAAAAAAAAGAACAGCCTACATAATGTATAGTATAGTATATTATATCAAATTATTAATATACAATATATTATATTATAGTTATTATAATAATGACTTCACAGAACTGAAATCAAATACTTACAATAATTGCATACAAGTATTAGTAATAAAATATTTTAGGTTTCTATATGAACCACTGGCGTCAAGTGTACTAACTGCATTACCGGATAACTGTAGTTATCGATTTACAGAATATATTTGTAGTCAACATTTTTTAACGTATGTTTTAAAAATTTATATTCAAATTTAAAAAATTTATATTTAAAATTTAAAAATTTATATCTAAATTTAAAACTAAACAAATTTGTTTCTACGGTTATAAAATATATTTGTACTGTACAATTTTTCGGTGTCCTAAAAATATGCACTACTTTTTGGCTTGGAGATCGTAGAAAAATTGTTTCATACGTCGCAAGATCGTATTTCGAAACTGAAATTTTTTTAAAAATTACTATAAACTAACAATAGTTGTTTAAGAATCAGGTTTAAGCTATTGAATGTTCCACACTTCAACTCATTCGGTGATATATTCAGCATTAGTATTGCCCACTTTTATCAATGCGTCCGGTTGGTTCTAGCATAACCATTCTCCTACCCAGCATTTCGAAAAATTGTGAAATTAAAACGACTTTTAAGCTAACTTAACCTTAGATAAATTTGAATATCTATATATTAAGCTATTTACTACCATTTTTGCGTTTGATTACTGGAATGGGTTCTAAGCATTCTAACCCTAACTATTCAACGATTGGAACCTTTATTCTTTATCCCTGAGATTGTTGCTAGATTCCACTTACCGAAAAATAGATTAAAAATTGATATACAAAAGCTTAATAGGTTACAGGCTCCTCGGGGAGGTATGCAGATCTGATGTAAATTGTTGTTTAGTCTGATGAAGTGATAAACTATAATCTAGTCAAGGCGTAAAGAGCAGTTTTGAAAATACCTCGAGTTAAGAAAGAGTAAAAGGCTCAAATAGCTTCAACATAATAATATAATTGAGTTCACCAATTAAGCCAATTTGCGTGATTAGAATATTGCATTATATTAGGGGGATTAATATAATAGCTTTATTATTTTATATAGAGTTCTAAAGAACTATCTTCAACTACTAGAATAACTTGTTAACAATTATTTTTGAGTTTTTAAATTTTATTAGTTTCTAAAAATAAAATACTAATTTTTTTTATAGGAATTCCATGTTGCTTATTTATTTATACGTATGGGTAACTCACCACGTCCTGGTTTATGGACTTTGGAAAAATCCACAGATTATGGTAAAACATGGACACCATGGCAACATTTCTCCGATACACCCGCCGATTGTGAAACTTACTTTGGTAAAGACACTTACAAACCAATTACCCGTGATGACGATGTTATCTGCACAACCGAATATTCGAAAATTGTACCACTGGAAAATGGTGAAATTCCTGTGATGCTTTTAAACGAACGTCCATCGTCTACGAACTATTTTAACTCAACTGTGCTGCAAGAATGGACGCGTGCAACCAATGTGCGTATACGTCTTTTACGTACCAAAAATTTATTAGGTCATTTGATGTCCGTAGCGAGACAAGACCCTACAGTGACCCGACGTTATTTCTATTCCATCAAAGATATTTCGATTGGTGGTCGTTGTATGTGCAATGGTCATGCAGATACATGCGACGTGAAAGATCATAAAAGTCCTGTACGTATATTGGCTTGCCGCTGTCAACATCATACTTGCGGTATACAATGTAATGAGTGTTGTCCTGGTTTTGAGCAGAAGAAATGGCGTCAAAATACAAATGCTCGTCCATTTGAATGTGAACGTACGTTTTGTTTTTTTAGGATCATGGTTAAAAAAATTACAATAATTTATATATATATTTAGAAAATATTTAATTTTTTTTGTTTAAATTGATTGTTTTAGCTTGCAACTGTCATGGTCATTCAAATGAGTGCGTTTATGAAGAAGATATCGATAAAAAAGGATTATCACTGGATATACATGGACGTTACGATGGTGGTGGCAAATGTTTGAACTGCCAGCATAATACCGAAGGTATCAATTGCAATAAATGTAAGCCGAAATATTATAGACCACGTGGCAAATATTGGAATGAAACAGATGTCTGCAAACGTAAGTTACTTGGCTTATGGAGCTTCATTTAATTTTTTCATAACCATCACTTTTGTAGCTTGCAATTGTGAATTCTTTTATTCCACTGGACATTGTGAGGAAGAAACTGGACGTTGCGAATGTCGTAAAGCTTTCCAACCACCAAATTGCGATTCCTGTGCTTATGGTTATTATGGCTATCCAAATTGTCGCGAATGTGATTGCTACTTGTTGGGTACTGAAGGTCATCATTGTGAAGCTGTTAATGGTGAATGTCCTTGTAAAGTAAATTTCGCAGGGCATTACTGCAAACAGTGTGCTGAAGGTTTCTATGCGTTCCCTGAATGCAAAGGTACTTCTTCTTAAATAGAGTTGTTAAAAGTTAACTTTAAATTTATTTAATGTTTTCATAGCTTGTGAGTGCAACCAAATTGGTTCAATTAGCAACGACTGTGACTTGGAAACTGGTCAGTGCAAGTGTTTAAGTAGTTTTGGTGGCGAACAGTGTGAACGGTGCAAACACGGTTATTTCAATTATCCTAAATGTCAATGTAAGTAAATGAATTCTTAGTTTCAATTTAAATGATTCTTCTAATTTGCATTTCAACAGATTGTGATTGCGACATACAAGGAACCCAGGATGAAATTTGTAATAAAGAAAATGGTCAATGTATATGTCGCGAAGGTTTCGGTGGTCCTCGCTGTGATCAGTGCTTACCTGGCTATTTCAATTATCCAGATTGTAAGGCTTGCAATTGTTCCACCACTGGCAGTACGGCTATCACTTGTGACAACACCGGCAAATGTAATTGTTTGCCCAATTTTGCTGGCAAACAGTGTACACTTTGTAGTGCTGGTTATTTCAGCTATCCAGAATGTTTGCGTGAGTGAAAATTCTTTTAATATTAATGAGATATACAAACTGTCAGGGAAATATTTGCCATACGTTTTCATATGCCAACTTTTTTATATAATCATTTCTACCAAAAATAAAAATAACTATATTAAATGATTGAAGTTAGTTAGGTGTTAAAAGGGGAGTGTGGAACGAATTCTCCCCAATCAGCTAAAAAAGCCATTTTCATTTCAAAATTCTTCGTAATAATGGTTAGAAGAATGATCAAGTTAGAACCAGTCAAAAGCATTAATAAATGCAAATATATCTGATTGTGTTACAGAAAGAGCGTCCAAAAGTGTAAGCCTAGTCTTGGACAAGCCATAAATACAACTGCTGTTCTGGTGTCTTTTCTTCGAGCGTCGGTAAACATGTGCTACAGGAGATACTACATAGTAGATCAAGCTTAACCCCTTACTATTCTATGACCCAGTGCCCTGTTAAAACAGATATGAGCCTAGATACTTCTGATTTGCTTTTGTGTGCCAAGCCAGAGGTTCTACATTTAAAAAAGATTGGCCATGTAGTCCTTTACCTGGGTGCAGAGGAAGTATGAACTCTCTCAATAGAAAAAATCAGCCTTTGGCTGTAGCGGACAGGGGCAGAGATTGAAATAAGAGTTTCCACGGAAGAGTCACTCAGCCCAATAAGCTTATCTGCGCGCTCATTTCATACTATGTGGGAATACCCAAGAACCCAAACTACAGTTACCTTGGACCTGTGGCTTAAGTACGTTAAGTCTTGCGTACATTCTAGCAATAATTTAGCCGAAATACAGACTACTGATACTTTAATAGCTTTAATAATAAGAGCTGACTCTCAGTAAGAATAAACACTTCAAAAAATGATTGAAAAGTAAAATACAATATATATATTTTCTAATAAATATTTCCTTGAATAATAATGACTAACATAACAGAGCCAGTTGTATAAATAATGCAAATTTCTCTATTTTAGCTTGTAATTGTGATGTACATGGTTCGGAGGGCGTTACGTGCAATGCCGATGGCCAATGCTTGTGTTTGCCTAACTTTGATGGTAAACTCTGTGACTCCTGCAAAGAAGGCTATTATAACTTCCCAAGCTGTGAAGATTGTAATTGTGATCCGGCTGGCGTTATTGATAAGTTTGCGGGATGTGGCTCCGTGCCCATTGGTGAGTTGTGCCAGTGTAAAGAACGAGTTACTGGACGTATATGCAATGACTGCAAACCTCTTTATTGGAACTTGAATATAAGTAATCCTGATGGTTGCGAAGTGTGTGATTGTTGGGTTGATGGTACTATTGCTGCTATGGACACTTGTCTATCGAAGTCAGGACAATGTACCTGCAAACCGCATACACAGGGTCGGACTTGTAAAGAGTGCAGAGATGGTACTTATGATTTGGATGGTGCCTCGCTATTTGGCTGTAAGGATTGTAATTGTGATGTTGGCGGCTCATGGAAAACGGAATGTGACAAAATGACCGGTCAATGTGTTTGTCATCCTCGTGTTACGGGACGAGCATGTACACAGCCATTAACGACGCATTACTTCCCAACTCTGCATCAATTCCAGTATGAATACGAGGATGGTTCGCAGCCCTCTGGTGCACAAGTGCGTTATCAGTATGATGAAGATGTCTTTCCAGATTTTAGTAGTAAAGGTTATGCTGTTTTCAATGATATACAAAATGAAGTTCGCAATGATTTAAATGTATTTAAATCGTCTGTATATCGTATTGTTATACGTTATGTTAACCCAAATCCTGAAAATGTTACCGCTAATATTTTAATACAATCTGAAAATCCATTGGAAGTCGATCAAAAGTAAGTGAAATTTATTAAAAAATTACTCAATACTCTAGAATTAATTTTATATGCAGTGTTAAGGTGCTCTTGCGTCCAACAACCTCTCCACAATTTGTAACAGTTGCTGGTATTAAGGGTAATAAACCTTCCGCTGTTGTTTTGGATCCAGGCCGATACACCTTTACTACAAAAACCAATAAAAACATCATGTTAGATTATTTTGTACTGTTGCCAGCTGCTTATTATGAGGCCTCCATTTTAACAAGATATATCTCCAATCCTTGCGAATTGGGTAACATGGAACTATGCAGACATTACAAATATGCTTCAGTTGATGAGTGAGTCACATAAATTTTATTTTTATTAATATATTATAATAATATTCAATCAAAATCAATTGCTTACAGCTTCCAACCTGCTACAACTCCATTCATAATTGGTTCTAATAATAAGCCCACTAACCCAACACAACATTATAATGATCCAGAACATTTATCTATCATTAACCATGTCGGCGATATACCTGTCATTAGCGCAACACAACCCGATCTTAATTATATTATCGATGTGCCACGAAGTGGACGTTATATTTTCGTAATCGATTATATCAGTGAACGAAACTATGCCGAACCCTACTACATAAAACTACGAGTAGGTCAAAATGAGGAGGATTACGGTACCACAACATTGTATCCTTGCTTGTATTCAACTTCTTGTCGTACACCGATTATTGATGAAAACAGTCGAGAAAAAACATTTAATCTGGATGACGATGATAGCAAACCTGTAGTAGTTAGTGTAAGTAAATACATAATAACTTAAATATTATGAAGTAAATGATATAAATTAATATATTGTGCATATATACATATACATTTATAAACTAATTATATAAACAAAATGGATATGTATTAAGTCGAAATCGTTATAAATAAGATAATTGCTTTTTTGGAATACTTAAAGTAAAACAAAACAAAACTTTTTTACTTTTATATATCACCTTAGGCCGATTTTGAAGATTTTGGACGCGTCGCTATTATTTCAGTTACTGCCATACCAGCAGAGCAGTGGTCCATCGATTATATTATACCAAGTACAGTTTGTGTCATAAATAATCAGCAATGTGCTACACCTAAATTCCGTACAGTTCCTGACTCTAAAAAAATCGAATTCGAAACAGATCATGAAGATCGAGTCTCAGAAAATAAGCCACCATATGCTGTGCTCGATGAGCGAGTTAAATTGGTGCATTTGGATAGTAAAAATGAAGCCACTATCATAATTGAGTAAGTAAATCTATGATATGGTATATAATCCGCACATATTCTAATATAAATTTTAACAGATCCAAAGTATCAGATCCTGGACGTTATGTGATTTTAATCAAATACTACCAGCCACATCATCCCAAATATAATGTCATGTATACTTTGACAGCTGGTAAAAATCAATATGATGGCAAATTCGATGTCAATCATTGCCCATCAAGTTCGGGATGTCGTGGTGTGATACGTCCTAATGGTGAAGACTGGTGGTTCGATATTGATGACGAGTTCAAGTTTACTATTACAGTGAGTGTTATTTGAACTTGCTTTAAAAAATGAAACTAAATGAAATTATTTTTAAATTAAATTTACAGAATAATCGCCCTCAAGGTGTTTGGTTGGATTATATGGTTGTCGTACCGGTTGATCAATATAATGACGATTTGTTGGTAGAAGAAACATTTGATCAAACTAAAGAATTCATTAAACTTTGCGGACAGGATCACTTTTACATTACACATAACGCCTCGGAATTCTGCAAGAAAGCAGTATTTTCTCTAACTGCTGACTATAATAGTGGCGCTTTACCATGTAATTGTGATTATGCTGGCTCTACTAGCTTTGAGTGCGATCCATTTGGTGGTCAATGCCAGTGTAGGCCGAATGTTATTGAACGTCAGTGTGGCGCTTGTCGCACAGGCTTCTTTGGCTTTCCAGATTGCAAGCCTTGTCATTGCCCAAGCACAGCCATGTGCGAACCACATACTGGCGAATGTGTTTGTCCACCCAATGTAATGGGTGAATTGTGCGATATGTGTATGCCAAATACATATGGTTTCCACCAAATAATTGGTTGTGAATCTTGTGATTGTAACTATATGGGAGTTGCCAATGGCAATATGCAATGTAATATGTTAAATGGTTCGTGTGAATGTCG